ACAAACAGTATAACAGGCTGGGCTGGATATCAGTGACAGTTTGCACAGTTTACATGAGGTTCAGTGTTTAACTTCTGGAGAGCTTGCCTAGGCTACACGAGGCTCTGTATTTGATAACTAGCAGTGAAAAAGAAAAGGAGAAAGGCAAGAAAAGGACAGGAAATAGAAGAGATGAACAGAAGAAAATAAATATTGTTTAGATGTTATATTGCGTGATATATACATGGTCTCTCTCTCTCTCTCTCTCTCTCTCTGTGTGTGTGTGTGTGTGTGTGTGTGTGTGCATAAAGCCAAATAATTGCCTTGCACAAATTATATTTTTGTGTTTCCAATTTAAATAGGATAGTAAATGATCAAGAGGAGAAAATATGTATATTTGCATTTTTAAGGAACTTTACTAATGACAGACAATATTAGTGCTTATTTACTACAGTGTCAACAAAGGGGAATATTTGCCTTCTTGCCCAGGAGAAAATATAAAGAAAGGAAAATGAAAGTAGATACAGAAGTTGTCTGACCCATCTAACTTTTTCACAGTTCACGGGTTTATTTGTTCCCAAGAATTCATTGTGAATCTTATGTATCCTAGGTTGTTAGAGTCAAATCTTCTGAGTTTCCCTCCACTGTCCACTCTGCCTTCCATTTTTAGCACCTTAAAAGATTGAATTTTATGTATTTAGTCACATTACACCTACTGTCTTCTCTTGAAAATATCCTTAGCTGTGACTGAATGTATTTAAAACAGCCAGTTTTAGCTAAAATAATGCCTCAGAGCAGTAATTGCTTCAGTCTCAAGATGGTTCTGCCTACAAAGCCCTCTGCCTTCCTGGCAGTCTCGTGTGATGTATATTTCCTATAGACACCCTTCATCCATTGCAGATAATAGACAAACCACTAATGAAACTGTTCAGTAACTGCTACCAACAGATACATAATTCAAGTAACTTAGTATTCAATATATTTCTTTTACTTTGGAAGAATATGAAAGCTAGTGCTACTAAGGAGACATGATTGCATGAATTACAGAATACATATAAAACTAGATGCATAGCAAAGAACATGCTATTAGTAGTTATTTGAGGAAGTTGCAATTACAGATGATTTTCCTTTTCATTTGCATAATTTTGTCCTAAGCAACAATGTTCAAATAAAGTTTGTTGTTCCAAGGGTATTGTCTTACTTATTGTTCTATTGCTGTGAAGAGACATTATGACCAAGGCAACTCTCACATAAGAAATGATTTAGAGGGTTAGTTCATAATCACCATGGTGAGAAATGGACAGGCATGATGCTGGTTCAGTAACTGAGAGCTTTACATCCTGATCCACAGGAAGCCAGCAGCAGTCAGAAAGAGGGCAAGACTGGGGCCGGGCTTTTGACATCTCAAAGACTATTTCAAGTGACACACTTCCTCCAATAAGTCCACAACTCCTAATCCTCTAATCCTCAAAGAGTTCTACTCCCTGGTGACTAAGAACTGCCATATATGAGCCTATGGAGGCCGTTCTTATTCAAACCATCACAGTTATGGGTGTTTTGAATGCTTTATGAAGGCTTTTAAAACATCACTGTAATTCATGAGTATATATTAAAAAACTAGTAAAATTTAATCTTACACACATGAGTAAGTTGACACCAATATTTTTGTAGGCATCATCTAGAGACAGAGAATGTATTGTTTAAATACTAAAATGATACATGAGCAATCTTTTAATAAAGTTACAATAAGTGAAGATGAAATGTGACCATGGAAAACAAAAAATTCACATATGAAAGGGGGAAGACTTTTCACAGCAAATTTAAAGGTTCATGCATTAATGGGAAAAGTGGGTAGCTACAGGAAATAAGATGTACAAAACCAAGCATGCCCAAGTACTTCTAGAAGCAAGCATTTAGGCATGCATATGGTTGATCTTGGTTGGAGGTATAATTTAATCAGACCAGTAAAATCTCAGGGAAGATAGGCAGAGAAAGAGCACATCAGATGGGCAGAGAAATATGAGTATCAGGTAGGTGATAAACGTGCCTTGAAAATGGGTTCTATGCTTTCTACCTTCAAGTAGTAGATTACATTTGTTTGTGGATAGTTTGTTGTTCTAGATTCACAGAGTGAGCTAGTCAAAGGTGTGGTAGAGCATGCGTGAAGTGTCAGCACTCTGGAAAAGGAGGGTGAAGTTTATGAATTTACCAACCAAATGGGATACATTGGTAAGATCATGTTTGAAAAATACAAATAAAATAAAACTCCAAACACCATGGCAAATACAAAATATATACAGAGTAAAGTATAAATTTAGTGGGGTACATTACAGGCAAATTTTACCATTGCATAGAAATGACATTCATATCTATTTTACTTTTGTTGCATCTTGTTAGCAAATAAAAATGTGTATCTAGAACAATATATAAGAACTGGTGCTTATAAATTACATATGGATAATTTTTAATATATTAAATAATTTGGACATACCACAGAGATATTAAAATCAAAGTTTGAAATATAAATACTACAACTTCATTTTATTTTGATAAATTAAAATATATTTATTATTTTATTTGAAAAATATCATTGGCCTTGCAAGGTATTGCATTGGGTAAAGGCACCTGTCACCAAACATCAAGCTCTGAATTTGAAGCCCTTAAATCATGTGGTGGAAATGGACTCCCCAAAGATAACCTCTGACATGGACACCCATGCACACTCATACACATCCACACATGCTCCATGATAGTGGTGTGTGTACATGCATACACATGCACAACCATGCACATTTATGCACACTCATGTACACCCACATGTACTCCATGCTAGAGGTATATGTATGCATGCATACACATGCAAACCCACACACATTCATGCATACAAAGAAAATAAATAGGAATAAAATGTTTAAAAAGGATACTATTTTAATAATCTTATTTTTATACTCTGTTAATAAGGCTTAAACACAAACTTTATAACATGTGTTCTTTCTACTCATTAACATTTTCTGAAAGAGGAATGTAGTTAAATGTGTTTTATTATTTTTTAAATTTTCTTATTTTTTGAGATCGATTCTTGCTCTTGTTGAAGCGAGACTGGAATTCACTATGTGCCCAACTTAGCTTTAAACTCTGGCAATCTGCAAAATTCAGCCACCGCCAAGTGCTGAGATGACGTGCTTGAGCCACGATGCCTGGAGTTGATAGTTTGTACATATGTACATATATAGCTTTAACTTGCTTCAGGGTTGGTTTTAATGGCCATCAAAGCCAAAGAATGCTCCAAAAGTTTCCTTGTGTTTATCCAGTCACCTTGATCCTTTGTTTAAATTGCTATTCAATCTTTCTTACATGGCTGTAAGAATTTCTTGTCCCAATTCTAGGTTAAAATATGATTTTGAATATTATTTGCTTTCATTTTTGAAATGTGTGTCTCTGTTTCATATGAGACCTGTACTTCAGTGGTACTATGATGGACAATTCACAAGAACTAATTTTCAGAATGTTTTCTTTTTCTGTGACAGGAGTTGTTTTTTTCAAAAATAAGTCTGTGGGTAACATATTCCCTACAGGAGGCTGGAAAAATAGGGGCAGCAGTTAAAAGAGAGTACTCCTTAGTGGGTGAGTTTAATTCTCTGCACCCAAGTTAGATGAATTGATGGTATGTAACTCCCACTTCAGGGGGAATATGATGCCTTCTTCTGGTCTTTGTGGGTATCGCAATCATGTGTACTGACTCCCCACAGAGATGTATGTACATACATACATACATACATAATATATACATACATACATAAAAATAAATCTTTTTTAAATGTCACATATAATTTAAAAGAATGGAACAATTGTATCTAAATACCTGCTACAAAATGCATAAAAAATTAAATTATTTGGATGGAAGGTAGTGGTGCACTTGGAAGGCAGAGGCAGCAAATCTCTGAGTTTGAGGCCAACCTGGTCTACAGAGTGAGTTCCATGACAGCAAAGGCCACACAGAGAAACCCCGTCTTGAACTGCCCCCCACAATATACATCATTTTATTCTTACCTTACATTTTGGCATATTTAGAATATTGTACTTTAAAAACTTGCCAACTATTTTAAGTAATTTGCCTTAGGTAAACAGCAATGTTTTGTCTTGAGCATAAAGTTTTCATAGCTTTCTTTCTATTTCAATATTTTTGGATCAATCTAGAATTAAAGTCTTGTTTGTTAAAAATTATTTTATCTCTATTACATATTTAGCACTCAGTTGATTCTCTTCAGTGACAAACTTTATTCATAGATATTGGTGACAAAAGTGTCACTTATTTATTTGAAAATATTTCACACCTTTCCAGAGCTGAGGTTATTAAATAATTTATTTTCCTTAGATGACATCTTTAAAATGTCATAACAGTTAGCATGCTTTTGGATTTAACCAGTTTTTCTTAAAGATTATGTTCATGTTTGTGTATGTGTGTATCTATGTGAGTATATTTCACATGTGTTCCGGCACTTGAATAGACCATGAGAGGCTAACACATCCTCTAGATCTTGAGTTACAGAAGACTGTGAGTTGTTGTTGTGTGTTTCCTGGAAAAACAGGGAGCCTCCGAACTTCTAAGCCATAAGCAGAGTTTTTCATGTTCAGTGTAAAAATAAAATGATCCTTGATTTACAGAGGTTACAAACATTCTTGGGGCATCATCCTCAGTATGTGAAGCTGGTGTGAAGGATATCAGCTGCAGAGGAATAGTGTGTCCCATGTAAGGGAAGCTAAAACATAGGGATGACTATCTGAATCGGTATCAGTGAGAAGCCCAGCTGGACATTCCATTCTCCGGTTCTTTGTCTTCAGTGAGTTAGGCTGAATGTCAAGATCCATGGACATCAAATCTTACAGCCCCTCTGCTCCACTGGACAATGTATATGGCACAGTTGGGTGCATAAGCAGACAGTCACATGCCAGGTCATTTTGTTGTTGCCTTTAGTGTCATGTAAAGTAATGAATATTTATTTTATCCATTGTGTTCACAGAACATCTTTCTGACAGAAGCTAGAGAAAATCCCATGAATTCCACAGATGAATGGACAAAGATAGTCCAGAAGCTCCATTTTCCACCTGTCATCACAAGGACAGAAGGCAATGCTTTATGAGTAGTATTCAAAAATAATATTAATTTTTAAGACATTATGGTAAGGGAAGCAATATTCGTGTGCATGCAATACACAAACAAAGACATACTGTAAACAGCAATAACAACAGCAAAACAGAAAAATAATCAGGAATGCAATAGAGGTACCGAAAATTATTTCTCTGAATATTTATGTATAAATACATAACAGATGATCCAAATCAATGCACCCTCCACAATACTCTGTTTTTATGTTGAAATTTAAGGGGTTAACTGATAGTTTATGAGCTTAGAAGGAGAAAGAGTTATTACCACGACACCAGGTCAGATCTGTGTTAGATTTTTATGCCCATGCTATCACAACTGGTATTAGGATAAAAACACTGCAATATAAAAATGATTTAAAGTAATTAATTAAATGGTAGGCTTCATGGTGTATGCCATTTTATCTTAGAATCTGACACCTTTACATGAACACAATGATCCATTTACTGAGCTGTTACAGTCCCACTGTGACCAGAGCTTACCCACTGGGGAGATAAATGCTTTTCAATTATTCAAGAATTGTCTGGAGACCCTATGAAGCAGAGAACAATTAAGAAATAGATGATAAATCTAAAGCATAGAATCAAATGATGGGCATCAGGGATGAAAATGACAGTTGTCAGTAAAGCTGAGGATTAAAATCCTCTTCATTTTATCCCAGCCTGTTTGTTTATTTTCACTTGAAATGAAGTCTGCTAACTCCCTGAGACACTTTGAAGTCACCAACTCCTGCTGGTAAATCTTTACCATTCTATTGATTTCTTCACACACACACACACACACACACACACACACACACACACACACACACACGCACGCTGTAAATATCAATTTAAATATCTAAATTCTCTAGAACGAAGAAGACTCTGTCAATGCCCAAACAATGATGGACTCACACAGCTGGCTTAGCAGCCTGGATGGTGAGGTGCTGACAGTTTGAGTTGAAGCAGAAAGGAGTGGTCCGCACAATATACGCCATGAAGGTGTGCCTCTCACTTTTTATATGATTTTCAGTGCTTTCTTATGTTTGTTTGTTTACAATTATTGTGGTCACTAAGGTTAAAATAGTCTGAGGTAATGAATTTCAGGATTTTATAGATTTTTTTCCTTAGTGTTGGCATTGTTACTCTCTAGAGCATGAGAAGAATCCTGCAGAGAAGGACCTAGGGATGGGAGAGCTCCTCGAGGCCACCCAGAGTAGCTGACTTTATTCAACTGCATTTCAGAATTATAGATTGCTTTCCTTTTCTTTCTTTTATTGAAAATAGATGTTTTCCATACAATATATTTTGATCATAGTTTGCTTTCCCAATTCCTCTGAGATTCCTTTCATGTTCCATCCCATAGGATTTCATGCCCTTTCTGTCCTGTGTTAGAAAGCAAACAGACATCGACAGAATAATAATAAAATAAAAGTAATAAGACAAAAAGAACAAACAAACCAGACTATGACAAAGAAACAACAGAAGAATGGGAGCCAGAAAAAAGCACAAGATGTATGTGTAGACAGAGAGACATGCGTGTTCATACACACAGGATCCCATAAAAATCACAAAGTCTGAAACCATAATATATACACAAAGGACCTTTAAGGTTAAAAAAAAGCCCTGTCAAAAATCTCATGAGACAAAGAACCTATAAAGATGATATTGAGTTGGTTTTGTGCTGGCCATCTACTGCTTGGTGTGGGGCCTACCGTTAAAACTGGTTTCTATCTGCAGTGAGACTTTACTGAAGAGAACTGATTTTTGATTTGTAAGTGGCTATCTGTAGCTAGAGTTTTCCGCCTTGCCCACAGTCAGGACAAATCTTTGTCACCTGCCAGTCCCACAGCCACTCAGACCCAACCAAGTAAACACAGAGACTTATATTGCTTACAAACTGTATGGCCGTGGCAGGCTTCTTGCTAACTGTGCTTATAGCTT